ATTTATTGCTATAAATATATATTTTTATAAATTAAATATCAAATTTTAAAATAAAATAAGAGATATTAATATTTAAAACTATTATATTTTTATAAATTGAAAATAAGTTTAAAATGATAATTTTTAATCCCTTAACTTTTAATATATACATATTTTTTGTCCATCCATTTTAAATTAAAGGATTAAAAATGTGTGTATTTAAAAAAATTTAATGGAGTAATTAATAGAAGGACTAAAAAAAATATGAAGAATAGATTAAAAAAGTATATAAAAAAACTAAAAGATGAAAATTATATAAAATATCAAAATTGAGGACTAAAAATGAAATTTGCCCTTTTGAAATTTGAATTGATTTGAATAGTAGCGGCAACTGAAAAAATGGAAGATAAGATAGCTGGACGCGAGAACAGAGGAGGATTTGCGCGATCAAAATTGCAAGGCTGACCAAAACGACATCGTTTTGGCTAGGAAAGCTTTTTTTTTTTTTTAATTCTTGCATATTGGATCGGTTAAATTTCGGTGTACCGGCCGGTATGTCAAAATTTTGGCCGATACACCAAAATTTGACCAAAATCACCAAATATTAACCGAAATGAAATTTATTTTTATTCCATTTTGGTCTACTCTAAAAACCAGTATATATCAACCGTACCAGCCGGTACGAAACGATATTTACTTCTTTGGTCTGAAGTCCAGACGAAGGTGAATGGTGGGCTGGTCCCACATGGCAAAGGATAAGGCATATCTTTACATTTAATTGAGTTTTAATCCAATTAGGAAGTTAAGAGGATTGATAGGAGAATGACACATTAGGGTTTATTTGAGTTAGATGGGGAATCAAACTTCCAACCGCCAAACGTGGTAGATTGCCATCAGACGTAGAGCAACCACCAGTGGATTGTTGCAGAAGGAGGACCGAAAATCATGAAGGAACCACCCTAGCAACAAAAAAAAGGAAAATGGGGAAAAAATTCAATTTCGTTAGGCAAATTTGCTTAACTATTTTTCTGCACGATTTCTAGACTAAAGTTTGACGATCTACTCTTGTTTGTAGTTTTTGTGTGAATCTCTTGTTTTATTTAAAGATTTCTACAAAGATTGCATCTTTGTTAATATTTGAAGATGTGGAAGTCAACCAACCTTGTTGTTTGGGTCTTCCTCGTTAATTTGGTTGGTCATGGATTCTACTCCTTTAATTATTCTTTCGATTGGGTGGAATGGCTGCTTCTTTAATGCCTTTGTCCATGCTAAAAATTCATGATTTTCAGTCTATTTACTCTTAATTTTGGGGCAGAAATTAGATTGCAAATTTCCAAATCTTAGACTAATTTACAATTAGATTGTATTCAAATTTAATTTAGAATTAGATCTTTAAGTAGTTTAATTCATTTTAGGTTAATCTAGAAATGTTCTCAACTTTTGAAATTATTTTGAAGTCAATTTCTAGAATTCATCATGGTCTATAGAATTTTAGATGTAGTCTGTAAGTTCACCTAGTCATCTGTATATGAATTTCCCAAAATGTTTGTTGTTTCTATATTGTTTTTATTTAATTGATTTAAGATAGTGTTTAGTTTAGGATTAGTGCCTTTTTATACATCTTTGTAGTTCTAAAATCCTTAAAGTTGTTCAAAGCATATAGAAACCCATCCTTGAAGTTGTCCGAGGGAAATAATAACTCATTTAGTAGCACCCCACCCTATGTTTTGCAACACCATCTAAGACATAAAACAATTCACAAATAGATGTCCTTTTTAGCCATCTTACTTAGAGGTCAACTGCTAGAAAGGAAAAGGTGTTGTTCCTTGAACATTTTTTTTTAACTTCCCATCATGTCATTGTTGTGTTTCAATCACAAGATTAAATAAAATAATAATTAGTGAATTTATTAGAAAATATAAATAATAAAATATCATTGAAATATGTGTGAAAAACTTACTTATTTTAAAGTGATTCACGAGTTTGTGGAGAATAAATCAATTGGTGCAATAAAGATATACATAGCATGCACCCCCAGAATGCTACAACTTTATAATAACACCTTATGAATCTGCATTACACATAAAGTCACCTAAATCAAAACAACTTTCTTTGCCAAAGAAAATAGAGTAAGGTAAAAAGGAACAAGAATGTGGAGAAACTTCACCATAGTTGAGCAAAAGGACATGCCCTATTTATTAGGCTCATAGTCATGTCACTCTCATTTATAAGTTAATGATAAAAATAAATTGGACAATTATTATGAAATAATATGCCTTTAAGTAGAACAATTAATATATAACATCTAGTTTGACCAGGTCTTTAATAAGGTAATAAATTTAATTTATAAAATATATTATTTTATTGTTATTAAAATATTTAAGTTCTAATCATTCCCCCACTATTTTAATAAAAAATAAACCTTTTTTTCAGATAAAGATGGATTATTATGCATAATAAAGGTAACTAAGGCTTGAACTTTCACTTAACAAGTTAACAATTCTTAATCCAAAATTAATACTGAATTAAGTCTTGAAGTATGACCCCATAGGAAGATACAAGAATTGCATCACACACATAATGATTCGAATATTGAGTTTTTCACATAGTTGGCGCATTATGGCCTTGTACATGATGCCAATTTTCATGGGTGATCTAAAAAATTACCCATTCAATTTTCATAAAAGCAACCTCGCTTTGACACCCACATAGGTGAACTTGGTCGAGGGTGCTCCCATAATTAAGACACCTCATTCCCTGGGCTACAAATTTCATTAAGAATATAAACTCAACCCTCAATTCATTATGGAATATAAACTCAACCCTCAATTCATTATGGAATAGATGCATCCTCACCTTAGAAATGAGATTGGGAATTTTTTTCGTTAAATATTGATACATTTTTAAACAATGACTTCTTTATGATTCATTTTTCTCATTCAAAACCCAACTCTCAAAATTCAAGTTGGGTATCCTCATAGGAAATTCTACATTATTGGGCTTGAATCTCATTTCCCTTGATGAGTACTAGACCTTGTACTATGATTATAGTTTTTTCTCTAACTTTTTCTTTACCAAAGACCTAGTTGGTGGTAAAGTGAATAATGAAAAGATTTAACTTATTCTTTTTCTCACTTTTTCTCTTGACATTAACCCACATGTCTACTAGCTCGTAAAATTCACATTCATAATTCTCAATTTCATAATTCATGGTATCATAATTTCTTATCTTGAGCTAGTAAACCACTGTTTTCCTTCAATACAGGTAAAGACAAGTAATTAAGAATTTTTAATTCAAACACCATTGTACATTGTTGTACAATAAGAATATCCATCATAACATATCCCTTCTACTTAAGTAAAGTACTTTATTCTTTTTCATCATACACCATTATACTATAATTATATAATAGGAGTGCATATCATATTTGCTTTGTTAAGCACCACTATACCTTGTTGTATAATCGAAACGCTATGCGAAATTTCAATTAACCACCATTAGTCTCATCACCAATAAAAAAATACATAGGGGTATCAAGTGTTTTTGGGCCTAGCCCAGTCCAACTAGTTGAATCGATTTAATCGGATCCAAGCTTGAAAACGGGCCAATTGCATACCTTAGCCCATTCTGTCAATTGGCCTATTTTGGCTGGGTAAAACCCACCCAACCCGCTAAACTTGCCTAACCTGCTCAAATCTACTAGGCTGAATCAATTGGGCTTTTTAATGTTAATTAAATTAACTTTTTTAATTTTTAATGTAATTTACCCATTCTATCTCTCTCTCTCTTTTATGTTATTACAATAAAAACCATACACTTAAATTAGAAATTAAAAGATCAGATCAATACAAAAAAAAAAAAAAACAGATCGAAAATGAAAAGTGATCTACAAAAGCAAAACCCAAAACCAAAAGTCAAAAACAGAAGAGAGCAAGGGAAGAGACAAACAATCACCACTAGTCACCTCCGTTGGCAACTTCCATCCGTTCATCTCTGTGCAAAAGCAAAACCAGAAAGCAAAACCCAACTCAACTTCCAACCCTTCGTCTTTGTGCAAAAGCAAAACCCAAAGGCAGAAAGCAAAAACAAAATAGAGCATGCGAAGTGACAGACAGCCACCATCATTAGCCAACTACCTCCTCGATTTTAGTCACCTCCCCAATCTCAGCTGCCTTCGTCGACAACTCTAGAACTACCTCCCTGATCTCAACCCTTCGGCGCTCACTTTCCTCTCCTTCTTCCATCGACAAAACAAATTTTCAATTCTTGTTCTGTTTTTAGTAAGGTGAGCAATCCTTCTCCTCTCTTATTGGCCATAAGATTTTTAGCTTTACATTGAATTTCATTTTCAAATTTACATATTCTACAAGTTTCTTAATTATTGAAAGAAATTAATTCTTTATTTATCAAAATTTCTGTAAGATTTGGAAAAATTATTTATGAATATCCTAATTTGTCATGCTTGTTTTATTTTTTCCTTATCTACTATGCTTTGATTTTAAATTTTAATATTGCATCTTCAATTCAAACAAATTCTTATTTATGATAGTTGGATTGGATTGTTGGAGTTGGTTTCTATTTTTTGTGGGTTTTGTTGTTTGATGATGATGATGAATAATTGATTGATGAAGAATGGTGATGAAAGTGGTTTCAGAGGAGGCAAAGAGAGAAAAAGAAGAATGAAAGAGAAGATTTGAGAAAGAAAAGGCTAGAGGAAGAAGATGAGGGCAAAATTGTAATTTTGGTGGATCCCACTTTTCTTTTT